AAAGCAAGTCCGGGCTCTGATGTTCTCAAAGTTCACTTACGGATAACTGTTGAAAAGCCTTTAACCCATTCGTGAAAATGGCAGCCACCGGTGGATGCCAAAAATCTCACTCAGGACAATGGTATCTACCGGTGCTGCCCGGTTTTAAAATGGAAATTTGGAAGTTTTCTTCCTGAAAAGAATCTTCATACCCATTCATCTACGCCAGCCCTGGGCAGGGAAATCTCCATCCACTCAAATTTTATTGAAGAAAAATCTCCTGACTCTCCTGCTATTGCGCAATCCAGCGCGACTTGCGACTGGGTTAAAAATTGCACTTGCTTCCGCGATTTTGAGACTGAACGATTTCTAGATTGAATGCGTGGAGGTCTTTTCTTACTTGAAGATACCTATGGACCACAGGAGTGGATTGTTTTTTGATGTTCTCAAAGTCCGAGAATTCTTTCGTGAAGCTGCTGCTCGGGAACGAGTCTTTTTTATTACCTTTTTAGTCTCCAAGAATGCTGGGAAATCCTAGCATGGCGTTTATCCAGCTTAAATTGCCGAGCAACGACTTTCTTCTGTGGCTGGCTTAGACTGAATGACTTTAGCAATTGCTCACTTGTCAGCTAGTGGGACTTTTCAGCTGAACCCATCCGAAAACTACATGATATTCGATGATCAAATGAATAACATTTAAAGATTGAACTGAGTAAACACATTCAAAACGCAGAAATAATGAAAAATAGAATAACAACCTCGTAAACTTTATAAACGTCTTGGATTTCGAATCTGTCTGTGGGAATCTAGGACATTCTGTCTGAATGCCTCGCCGGCTGGGTTGGAAATGAAGTTTCCAAATTTTTGATCACTGTTCGACCTCCTCCTCTCAATGGAACAGTTTTTGGGAGGGTCATGGAGATGAAAGGGGGAACTGATTTCTAACGGCGCGATGTGATATTTACTTCAATGGTATTCTGGTTGAAAAATGTAAAACATTTCAAGAAAACGAAGCGCATAAAATTAAAGCGAATAGGAAAAAATGAAGCAAGTAAAGCAATAAAGCAGAAGAGCACATAAACTAATAGCATGTATTTGAGCTAAATGGTTGTTATGGCTTTGCTGTTAATGTTGATAAGATGGTTTTCTAGAAATGAGTTGGAATCCAACATTCTTCCTCCACACCTATATCTTGTTCTTCACTCTGCATCTGTAATCCTTTCTTTGCACTCTCTTTCTTCTTCATCCTCTACTTTTCCATAGTTTTGATGAGGAGCTGTTGTGGCAAAGGGTCCAGAGCAAAGGTCGTTGGTAATCCTGAAGACGGAATGTTGTATTACCCCGAAAGTTTAATCATTAAATATTGGTTTTGGGTGTTTTGTGACGATGTCAAAAATGGAGTCATGGTCACGTTGCTTTGTAGATAGTCTGCTAGGTGGAATTTGTTATTTAGGGAATATCACTTCAACACAGCAGCTATTTTGAGGTTTCTGAAAAAGAAACGGTGATATTTGCATTTCTGCTGCGGACAGCTGCTATAAATTCTCGAGACTTTTTTCCAAGTAGCCATGAATGTACTTTTCTTGGAAGCAAATTTGAACTTTCACCGGAATTGCGTCAATCATAGAAGTTGTTCAGGGAAATTGTAGTGCAGTGTTAAGATGCTGAATAGCATTTGAGGGCGCTATACAGAGCCTTAGGTAGTCCCGCCGTGTCCAGTGCAAGCAATTATGCTGCAGAACTTGTTACAGGATCCCAAACTCCTATTATAGGACGTTAACGCGTGCTTGACCGATGGATACACCATCGAACTTTTCTATAGGCCGCAAACATTCAAGAAGCATGATAAATTTTTAAAAAATTACCAGGATCTAAAAGCACGGTTATATTCTGCGTATTTAAATCAAAACCAATCACATGGATCTTGGACCTCTTTATAAATTTTGGCACTATTTACCCTTTACTGCCCCACTCCTCAAGAACTGAGCCGGATTTTGATCGAAATTCGTCCATGACTGTGGATTTTGCTAGAAACTTGCCTTCAGGGGTAATTTGACCCGTAGATCACGAATATAATACCGGTTTAGAGCGAAAACGCTTGGCGCCCGCGCCACAGGCGCCGGCGCTATCACAACAGTTTTGCGCGGGCGCTCGTAGCGCAGGCTACAGGTTCACTCGTAACAAACTGATGTGATAATCATATTCTACGGGTCAAAATACCTCTGAGAACAACTTTCCAGCGAATTTGGGGATTCCCAGCGACTGTTGGGCTAAGAGATGTTCTGCGCCTGAGCGCCAGGCGTCCTACCAGGCGGTTGCTAAACAAATGTGATATTCGTGTTCTACGGGTCGAATTACCCCCGAAGACAAGTTTCTGGCCAAATTCACAGTCAATGACCAATTTCGATAAAAATCCGGCTCAGTTCTCGAGGAGTGGGGCAGTAAAGGGTAAATAGTGCCAAATTTTTTGTGCATGTGAGTTCATTTTCATATTTGGAACTCGGCTAGTGCAAATTGTCTGACGTGGTAGACTTCTCTGCGTTTTGCGATGCGCCACGTATTTGAGTTTTATTCAGAATCGTAGTAGTGTTTGAATGCTTGTGTGGCTCACACTATTGCTCAGCGGTCCCTTCGATGTTAATACAAAGAAAAATGGTTAGATTTGAGTGAAAACATTAGAAAATTTTCAGAGGAACAAAGAAGTAGATTTTTACAATGAAATTGTTATTTTTAATGGAGAAATAATTAAATTCAACCACTTTGTTTTGATTATTATCTCGCTAAGAATACTGTTTCCTGAATTTGGTAATAGAAAGGTGGGGGACATAGCTAGCCACGGCAGGATCCGTTCCTAGACGTTATTCCTGGAGCATGCTTGCGGTACCTGCGGCACGTGCCCCTGTCCCAGATTTGTTACTGTGGAAAAATATCTGATTATGACAGCGTAATTGATACTGGTAGGGGCTGTACGCGTCATAGATCAGCCACAATCGTGACTTGTTGGCCTACTCAGATCAGAAATCCCACTACCCGAACTGGTCGGAGAGCGTGCTCGTGTGGGAGAGTTCTCAGTAAGAGACCAAAAGTCGGCAGTTAATGAGTAATGGCTAAGTAAGTGTAGTCGGAGTCGGTGCCAGGTGAATCGGATTTTGCCTCGAAAACAGTGGAATAGGGATTATGCAACAAACGTATAATCTGTGTTCTTGGTGTTTGAACATTGTGCCGAAGCTCCTTGAAGAACGGCTCCAATATTGTCCGAGGAGGACTGCGTCTCACAAATGAAGCCACTAGGAGGACGTTGTTTCGCTAATAAACTGTTTTTTCCTGGAGAAAAAATGACGTGTATTTCACATGGAACTGGACGTCATGGTGGTGAGGATAAGCGGATATGGTGCCGGAACGGCCTACGCACGTCTGAACCATTTCTCAAAGTGGAAGGGGAGTTATTACGAAGTTATTACCAGGGGTGTGCACTGTTATTAGTTTCTTGTGGCCACACGTGACGCGCAACAAATCTTACCTCGAAAAACACAACACAAGATCATTTTAGCATTTAGTCTGAAAAATTTGACTAGAACAAGAAAGGAGGGCAATTGCTCGTTTTGTTAGGTAAGGTCATGTCTTTTCAAAGCCTGATTCTTCTCTTTAGAAGTCGGGGAGCCATAAAAGGATGAAGCTTTTGCCGTTGATCAATCCCGTCTTGGGATGCGGCACGCATTCTACTTCCATTTGTACATTCGTAGTGGCGTTTGAATGCGATGTGGCCTATACAATAAAACAAGTCTGGTACCAATTAACCGACCCCGGGGATGTAACTTATATTGGCCCAGGCGAAGCACGATCCAGGATCGATCTCCGGATCGCGCGGCGTGGTAAGCGTGCCACTTGCCAATATACCTTTTGCGCCCATACAGAGCCATATTAAAGCAATTTTATCATTGTGCAAAGTCCTGTTTTTGTCCTCGTGAATAAGTTTGGTCAGAACTGATCAATCACAGGAGATGGCGGGGAGCTGCCTGTTGAGATGAGTTCGATCCGAAAAGACATGCTACGGAGCCCCAAGGCGTCTCCTGCCATTACACTTCTCGTTTGAAGACGTTGTAGAGCTCTGAAATGCCATAATGTCATAATTTTGCTAGAGGAAGTAAAAGGTTGGATGGTTGATTTATATGTAATTCGAGGTTGTTGTAGCGCCTGTAACCGTTGCGCCAGTTCCGCTAATTTTGAGGTAGTCGTGTAGTAAAACTGTTTTAACATTCCAACAAGCTCTGGACATAAGCATCGCACCCTGTAGCTTCTTTGAGAAAAAGATATTGCCAGTTGAAGTTAGGGGGCGCTATTCAAAAGATGGCATGAGAAATTGATTTTTTTCCAAGCTTTGCTAGAGATTACTGAATGCTTTTCGCTCTTGCTCGATTTTATCAGCTTATATAGAGATAAGTGGGGGATCTCGTCGTTAAGTGGAGGCTCAAGTAAGCTGTGAGAAGTCTTCTTGGCAATTGTGTGCCAAACTCGTGAATGAAACTAGCACCACTCTGATGACCGCCAATTAGGCAAAAAGTTCGGTATCCTTTAATCGAAAACAAAGGCTCAATTGAGAAGACAAAAGCTGAAAGAAATTTTGTTGCTTATTCTTTTCATATTTCATTTTCTTGTCCTTGTCTGTTGGTGTCTTATAAGAGTCGTAAGACGGCTTTGTCCTTTGTCCGCAAAGGGCATGTCACTTTGTGTCTCTCGTGAGAGTTAAGTGCCATTTATTACAGTGAGACATTGCACATGTGGTGTTGGGTTTCCAGTGTGTTGTCCAACACGGCCGGCCATATGCCAAAGCACTTGTCAGCAAGGCGCCTAATGCGCGGCTCAAATTGTCAGAGGGAAATTTTGTCCTAAATATTGTAACGAGTTACCATTTGTGGATAAGATAGTTCATAGGCAGGGATGGCTGGTGACGTGGTACATTTTTCAATATTTTTGGAACCCCCTCTCTTCCCCCGTGTCATTCACGTATTGTGATTGTTGCGATGAAACGGTTTACCTGCGACACGTCCGTCTCCACAGTTTCGGTCTACACTGGAAAGTTCTACGAGCTGGGGAGGTGAAGGAGGGAGGCGTCAACCTGTCAAAGCGACAAAATTTACCAAGAGTTGCTAAAATCAATTTTTTCAAATCCTCACTTCTCAAAAGTTCCTTCGAATGGTTCCATTATATATAATCATAGATGTATGACATTCGCTAAATAGTGACTCCATTCCCGGACCGAGTTGGACAGCGTGGAGGGGGCAGGCTAACTCTCAAAATAATTTAGGAATATAGGTGTTTGTTTTCCAATGGATCGGATTTTTTCAAGCTACGAAGTGGCTAGAGGGCGGCCTCTACAAACGGTGCCCACAAATTGGCTGATGCAAGAGGTTCCTTACTCAACCTTCAACGGTCACTTACGATTTTTTTTTCGTTCTGTTCTCACAATGTGAGGGAAAGTTTGTTCAAGGCGTAGTAAGTTGCGTGAAGCACTCGTAAATAGCGCATGTTCTGTGTCCGTTAGAATGCGCTCTGAGTTCGCTGGTTCTGTTGAAAATCGGAGGAGGCGCTGAAAGCGTATTGGGCACACAAAGCATGGGCTGTATTCAAGCCAAGACAATGCCTGCAGCTTTTATCGTCCTGTGGGGTAATGTGATGCTAAATGAGTGACCCTAGCTACGAGGCTTAGTTAGTCTTTGTTCTTAACAACTATACAGACTTGTTGCGGTCGCAGTTGAAGGATTTCTTAGCTAGAAGTGATTATACGAGTTGGAAGGCTACTTATGGGCAGTTTTCTATATCTGAGTATCTCCACATTTATAATTCCATGTGAAACTCACGCGATTTTCTTCGCGTCGGCCTATTCCTGTTTTTGCAAATATTCTCACAGAAAAAGCTTGCAAGGATTTTGCTGAGTTGAGTGCTGGGAAGGACATCGACAGCTTCATCTTTGAGCTTCTGAGCCACTTGAATATTTTTAGTTGTTAATGGGCCTGCATTCAGTATGCAATGTCTACGGTAATATGAAAACCGGTATTTTCTCAACCCTACTTCTCAGATATGAGTTTTTGGAAAATAATTGTGCTGCTAGTTACTACATATTTTCTGTGGTTCAAAGATTTCCAAGATACTATTTTCTATTGGTTGGCAGTGTTCCAAGAAATCAGTCAATTAATGCTGATAGCTGTAAAGTTATGTGAGATGGGTGTAAATATTTTGATGTTGATGGAACTTTTAGAGATAATGAATAATTTGCAAGGAATAATCCGCCGTTATTATACGCAAATTGGCAATAATTATAAGCGCCAATCGCTTTATTGTGGGATTTGCTCCTTGCAACGCTTTTTTTTTCCATGAATTCAAGATTTTGGTAGGAATGCGGGTTATGCAGATATTGAAAAGGCTCTACGGTGTGGCCTTTTTAAAATGCCATGCGAAAATTTCATGGGGTTATCAGGTGGTATAGCTGTTCTCTGTAGCTCTCGTAATTGTCTGTAATTGGAAGCTTGACTGGTATGTACTTATGCTGCTGGAGGAATGTTACAGCTGGATTACGGTAATCGTGATTTATTGTATCTGAGGCCATTAGAATTATTTGTAGGTCCGGACAATCATGATTTTGATGAATTGTTCTTGCAAGAAGTTAATAAGCACTGGGACGCCATTAATTATTGCAGCCCATGTTGGTATAGTCGTGCCCTGGTAAAGAATGAAGAACTTATAATGGTCAGGCCTTTTTGGGATGCGCCACGCATTTTACTTACATTCAAAAGCGTAGTGGCATTTGAATGCGAATTGGCTCAGCAATGAATCAAGCGATCTAGCTGATTCCCACACAGACGAGTCTAGTACTTACCCCAGAGGGATGGAAGGCTAGGTTTTTGGACAGGATTAGATCTGAGTTTTGACCCCGGATTGTGCGCGTGATATTCGACGCCCATCCATGACCTATTTGCTTAGAAACCCTAGTTGTATGTAATACTCGTTAGGCTTGTTTTCACGCCTGGAATTGCTCGGTAAGCACATGCAGGTGAATCACGAAGGCTAATTAAATGCGCATGAAGTAAATACCAATCTGAAAGGAACGACTGGTGTCTGGAAACAGCCTAAGCACAAAATTTGTTGAAGAAGCAGTGCTCATGAACGGAACTGTCCGAAGGAGCAGAGGGCTCAAAGTAGTGGTGTGGTTTTTGGATTTACTAGGATCCAGCTTTCGCCGATGTTAGACTTTGCGAATCGAGCGATTCGCTAGCGTCCGCGGTCGCGTTGCGGTACCAGCCAATTGAGTGATTCACTGGCCGCGACGCGACCGCGGACGCTAGCGAATCGCGCGATTCGCAAAGTCTGACATCGGCCTTTTTGTTTTGCAAGCAAAGAATAGTCAGGAGTGCCTTAAAGCACAGATATAGCAAAAGTTTGCCTACGGTGTGTTGTGTGCTCTTTTGTAAAAATTGTTATAAAGGCATGTTTCAGCATGAAGTTCGCTCAGTGTCGACGTTTTGCTGGAGATCAGAGTGTAGATTCAAGAAATATTGGTACAGAACATTGGCCATTGAAGTTGAATGTCCAGTTTTACGAAAGTTCACCGGAGGATTATTACGCGAAGGTATATCCAATATTTTAATGATTTTGTTTTCTGTTTTGAAATACTGACACATTTCAGGCGTGTATTTTAACGGAGCGAACAGGACAAGTGACTTGCTTTCCTGAATTCCATATATACAAAGCGGCGCTCAATGGAATGATTGTGATTTCGGAGTAAACTGTAGGAATGAGTAGTATTCTAATTTAAGTTGCTTTTATTCCGATCTTGCTCGTTTTGGTTCCAAAGCTGGCACATGGGCTTGAATCTAACATTTGTTGTCATTGATACTGTAATAAGTATGCTCAACTTTCGCTTGAGGGCATGTGCGAAAAACAGGAAATCAAACAATTTCTTTCTTACCTTTCTTTTTTCCTTTGATATTTATAGGTTTAAACCTTTTGCTTATTTAATTATTTTTTCCTCAACCTCACTATTTTAGTGTCGTCATCGCTACCAATGCTTTTACTGACTGTGATGATGATCGTGTTGTTTCTTACGATTGGCGTCGGCATCGTGTTCCTCACACATCACTTGTTTGTGCGAATATCCCGTGCAGCGAGATCAAGTCGGAAGTTCCATAAGCAGGTAAGCAACGCATTTGGCGACTTGGTGCAGCTGGAGAATCTCACGTTATACTAAATAGTAATCGTCATAACTTGACATGCGATAGGCTGATGTGAGCCTTTGCAAATGGCTGGATTCGCATCAGCCTGTCGTACCGATGTGATCACTTCGCTCGAAAGCGTGGTTGCGTTGGCCTGTATGGGTTTAATAAATAAACCCTTGCACTTGATGAACGTAAAGTGCAAAGATTTGTCTAGCAGGGTGCAGGGTTCTCTCAGCGAGATTCTTCCAGTGGAATGTGACCTAAAGGCAACGGCGATGATAACATGATTGTATGTGAAGTATGATAATAGAGATGTTTAATGATGCGCCAGCGAAACGGAACCCAAGGGGGCCAGGAGCCTGAAAAATGGAACCCTCATGTCAAATAAGAGTTTTAGCTTGATGATCTATACGGCTTAGGCAGTGGCCGTTTGGCGATTGCGACACGAAAATCCTCTCCTCGTATTCAATGGGTCGGTCGTTAGTCTCGGTCTTGAGCCCTTCTTTAGCGCCTTATCACGATTTAGCAGGATTGTCTTGACCATAAGTTACCTTTGAGTTAGAAGACTAAAGGTAAATAAGCCACTACTACAAATAATGGTAAGACGTGAACGTGAGGATTCACTCTCTACGTGACTAGCACTCATGTTTGACGAAATCCTTCATAAGTCGTTTTATGAGAAAAAAAGCGTTGTGCGGATTGACGTCGAATATTTAATTAATGGCTTTGCCATTAAAACAAAACATTAACGCACAGTTAGATAAAACATAGGGAAGCAGAGGATTCATAAGAGTTAGGTTGTGAGGTTTTCCGGGCCAGACATTTAATATTTTTTCTACTAAACCCGTGAACAGATTTTCAGTGCGTACACGT